TCCATGGAGCCCGATGTAAGCACTTATTTTACCGGCCGTTCCATGGGGTGTAATATAAGTAGTTTCTTTAAAGACCCTAATATGTTGCACTATTTCATTAGTTCGTGGGTAATCGAGGCGGTGGCGATTGACCCTATTTGCGGACATTTCATACAAAACCGGAAATTAAAAAACGCATGGCTAGACGCCACTTTGTAAGAAGTGGTGGTCTGCTGGTAAGTGCTTATTTCACCAGCAACGAACTAGTGCTCAGAATTGCAGGGAATGTACTCGTTAGTTATTCGGGGATCCACAATTTCCAGTCGTACTCCTCACTGTCCTCCCGGCAAAAACGAGTCTTCTTGAAAAGTAAGCTTTCTTCAACCCCTAATTCTGGGAATCGATTTCCTTGCTCTTTATCTAGTTTCAATCTATCCAGGTACGCTTCACTTGCGAATGCCGTCGTCTCCATCTTCAAACGGGCTCAGCTCTTCTACATCGTTGGGGCGCGAAAGAGTATCACCCACCACATGTTCCTTTCCTTTTCGAACCTCAATGTTGAATTGGTAAGGCTGTAGCGCTAGAAACCATCTGGCCAGTCACCTTTCCAGATTTTTAAAGGTCAAGGTGGTGAACGGCATCGTCTCTATGTATGGACGGAACCTCTCAACAGCTTTGACGTCAGCAAGACACTCCTTCTTGGTCACACTGTAATTTAGCTGTGCGCCTCTTAACTTTGCCGAAAAGAAAGCGATCGGCCATTCCGCTTTATTGTCGTCCTTCTGGAACAACACCGCGCCGATACCTACATGACTGGCATCACACTGAATCCAGAAGTGTTTCCGGAAATCCGGGTAGATTAAAACCGGCTCACAGGTCAGTGCTTGCTTCATCCTCTGGAATGCTACCTCCGCTTCTGGAGTTCACTATAGCCCTTTTCATCTTTTCAGGCAATCTGTTGAAGGAGCGCTTATTTCGGAAAAATTGTGTATAAACCTTCTGTACAAATTCGCTGTGCTAAGGAAACTGCGCAACTGTCGGACGTTCGGGGCCTCCATTTTTTTAATGGCTGCGGATCTATCTTCAGAGCGCCATCTCAAAGAACATACCCTAAGTACCGCAAGTATTTAAAGCAGAACTTTGACTTCTGCAACCCGATGGTCAAATTCGTCCTGCGTAAGCCTCTTCCTACTTCTGCTTGTAACTCACAATGCTCCTCAAGGGTCTTCGAGATCATTAACAGGTCATCCAGGTATGCAAACACTCGGTCTCTGAGTCTCTGTGGGATGACTCTATCTATCAACATACCTGCACAGTCTTTGCGCTGCATTGCATAATCCTAAAGGCATCCTCCGGAACTCCAGTTTTCATCCAGTTCCACTTGACAAAACGCATGTTTCAGGTCGTTGCTGCTGATGAAACGCAAAACACCACAAAGGGATCTATTCAGATACGTACTTTACTTTACCTTCCTACAAAGACAAAAAAAACAATGTAAACAAAGGACTTTTCTTTGCGAGTTCAGTCTCCTGTCACGGGTCCAGCTTCCGAGAATCCTTTGATCTTATCAGGTCCTTTTTCCGATTCGGCGTCGAAGGTCCTTTTTCCATTTGGTTTTCCACTTTGCCGGCTAGCACGCGTTAACAACATCTGCAAGGATGGGAAAACCCGGAAAAACGCAAAAGGCCGTCCCATCAAAAAAATTAAACAATTACCTATAAACTAATTTAATTATTTAAACAAAAAAAAACAAATGAATAGATTCCAATCAAGCAAAAGTAAAAATGACTACGTTACACAATTTATCAATTCACCAAAAACACAGCTGACGAAAGAACACTACGGTATTGGGCCCAGTGAAAGCTTCCCTTCCTTGGTCAAAGTTCTGGATCCTTGGGATCATCACCGGCCTTCCCTAAGCTCCTCTTTACACCGATCTGCACTCTCACATTTTGTATTCCACGTTTTCACTCGCTCCCCCTTTTGTATGTTCTCACTCACATTTCATTTTGATTGATAATTTAATTTAACATTTATTTTTTCATTTCTTTTATCTTTTCAGTTTTATACCACTCTTAAATATTAAACAAGGATTAACCTAACACCTAACCAAGGCACATTGAAACAAATACTGATAATTGATTAATTGCAAAAAAAAACAAATAACAAATAAGTAATTTAAATTAATAAATATATTAAATAAATTACTACAAGGACAGGGTTTCAGGTACTTTTTAAATTCTTTAACCAACTCTCAAAAAAACTTGGGGGCCACCCAGGAAGGGTGACCAATTTCCTTTCGTGCAGAAATTTTCGCCTTCGGGTGTCGGATGATGAGCTGCAAGTCTTGTTTCTTCGAAATGTACTGGAGGTACTTGTACTTCGAAATTTACTACTGGAATCGTTATAATTTTATGGTTCCGATTTCATTTTTTCTTCGTACTTACGTTAGAGCTCCGTAGAAAATTATTGAGATTGTTTCCATTCTCATTCCTTTTTTTTGGTTTTCTTGATCCCTGCTTTCCTTGCAATCACAGTTGGTTTGATCCCGGCCGGTTCATCCTGTCTTCTTCTTTCTCGGGTCCATTCAATTCGCCCCGATGTGCCATCTCTGGCACAGTCATGCCTTCTCTAGCCATCGCTTGCAGAGACTCTCGACACTTAACATGTTAGGTGTGTACAAGCTGAATTTCAATATTCTCGGAGTCTTCTTGTCTTATTGTATTGTTTAGCGACTGCAAATAATAGTTATGAAAATAAAAAAAATTAAAAAAAAAAATTGTAATTTCTATTTTTGTTATAAGAATCTGCACAAATATGCAGAAATATACATATATAAGCAGAAATATATATTCTACAGACAAAAAGCTTTCATTTGGTGTATAATACCTCTAACCATACAGCATATAGACAACCCATTTTAAACAACGAAAATGGACGCAAAAATTTCTTGCGACAGGCCCCAGCAGGCCCCAGAGCGAAATCTTACTCTCTTTCTTACGCTCACCGTTCGTCCATCTTACGCTCATATTCTCATAGAATGCTTTCTGTTTCTCAATCTCTATAAGGAGCGCGACGAAGAAGGTTGGTCTGCGCAATCAATTAGGTGTTGGTAAACAAGTCAATCAGCTGTTTTAGTGTCTTCGCACTCCCCTAAAAGTCGTTTCATCGTTACAGCAGGCATGCACAAGCCTCTTGCAGAACAACAAAAACTTAAAAACAATCGGCGTTTTAAGTCATGTCGACTGAAATATACCCTGTTCCTATCTCAATATATGGATTTTTCATGATTTGTAAAAATATATATATACAAAACATTTTACTGCTAACACTTAATCTTATTTCTAAATAAATGTAAAATTATGCTGAAATATTAAAAAATATAATATAACACATAATATTATATTGTTCGTCATTTCACCAAATAACGAATACCCGATTTTTTTAGGGTAGCAAGCCTGAAAAGTTAGAAAAATCAAAATTTTGTGCGCTGGACAAAATCCCACGCACACATGCCCCCGTGTATGTGAATGTGTGACACGCATCCATACAAAGAACAATCTAAGCGCAGATCAACCTTCTTCGTTGCGCTCCTTTCAGAGACAGAAACAGAAAGCATTCAATGAGAATATGAGCGTAAGATTAACGAACAGTGAGCGTAAGAAAGAGAGGAAGATTCCGCTCTGCGGCCTGCTGGGGCGTGTCGCAAGAACATTTTGCGTCCATTATCGTTGTATGAAATAGGTTTTCTATATGCTGTAGTGATAATACTTATAGAAATAAAAATAATTTTTTACTTATGAATGCCAAGACGGAAGATAATTGTATCTATACAAGTAAAAAATTTAGAAAAACGAATTTACGCAGTAGCTTTTGCCGCTTAAGAGATATTTCAACTTTATTTTTAAAATAAAAATCACAAACAAAATTTTTTTTTTATTTTTATAATAAAAATCAAAAAATAATTTTTATTATTTTATGCTTGAATTTTTTTTATAAATTTTTGATTTTCAAAGATTTTGGTATTGTTTGTACAGAAATTTAAAATTATATATATGGGGCGGTGAAATTTTCGACTTAAAGGGTTACGGCACCCTGAAATTTTCAAAAAAATTTTTTTTACTTAATTTAAAAGACTATATTCTTATGCGTATTTTAAGACGTCCCCGAAGACAATATCTTGATAATTATGGAAGTTATGTTTATTTGAAGTCGGCACGGCAGGAGGGCACCTAAGACACTTCTTTTTCTTCTTTTGCGTTTTTCTCGAAACCACTTTTTTCAAGACGGTGGGCATGATAACTCAAAAACTGTTCAACCGATTGACTTGAAAATTAAAACACATCTTCTTACATAGATTTTCCACAGAGTGACGTAGGATTTTTTCGATCCAATGGATAGAAATTTTGTTATGCAATTTTTAGAACGAAATTTTTAACCCAAAAAATTGAGTCAATTTTTGAAGTGCTCTCATTTGCGTAATTTTTTTTTTTTTGTCTTAAACGGTTACGTCACTCTGTTCCAAATTTATCACTTTAAAAAAAAAAATGTTGTTTACTTGATTGAGATGAAAATTGACACGTGAATCATGCCCACCATCAAGGAGCACTCCGGAAAACCCGATGATCGCCGATGTTCATATCTCCGCCATTTTGCATAGAAAACAAGTTTTTTTTTAGAATTTATAAAGCTTATTAGTTGTATTGAATAGAAATAAAAGTGGAAAAATCCTATCTCAACTAGTTTAGTCACAAGAAATTCCTGAAAAACCGTCCCGTTTCCACGCGGTCAGGGTGGCGTAACCCCTTAATTGGTAAAAAAAATTGTAGTCATATCAAAGAAAATATTACATCTATGTAAATCTGTAAATATCATCGAAAGTGTAGAGCTTTTTAAGTGTAACGCAAAGCGTAACGCTCTTTAAATGTAGTATTTAAAAACAAAACGAATAGCAGAAAGTGTATACTTATTTAGCACATTAACTTATTTGGTATTCTAGGTTTCTTTTCTAACTGGTAGTACAATGACTCTTGTGCCACTATGTAAAGCAACGTTGATTTACATGTACATACATATATAATATTTTTATTCATATATCATTTTACTGGAGGTAGACATACATATACATGTATAAAATTGTTTAAGACCTTTTTTTATGTATGTTTGATATACAATGGACTATATTGTACTTTTTATTATATATATGATATAAACGGGATACATACATAAGACAGAACTTAACTCTTTTACCAAAATAAACAAAAAAAAATTGAGATTAAAGTTTACGCTGAGAATATTAAACACAACACAAACATAAATGTAAAAATGTATACTGGCCATACATACATATGTACATATGGAAACGTGCAAACGTATGCATATGTGGCTTAAATCATGTCTCATCGATAAAGTAAAAATTAGGGATGTCGAATTTTTTAAAATTATCGTATCGATAATATTTTCTGTTTTAAAAAAATATCAAAATGATATAAATATATATCGCTACAAAAAATCGATATATCGATGTTTTTGATATTTTTTTTAGTTTCCTAAAAAGTTTTTTAGAATATAAAATAATAGAAATAAAACACAGAAATTATTATTGCTGTTTAGTTTTTCTCATCTTTAGTTTTTTAAATCCATAAACATAACATTTGAAAATCATAAAGAAAAATATAACATAAAGAAAAATATAACATAAAGAAAAATAATATTCTATTTCATTATAGTCTTTGCCTGAGATTCGAGTTCTATTCATAAAAATAACATAAAATTTATCTTAAATTAAATTCAAAGTTCTTATATAATAAAAAATAAGGAGATTGTATTCCATTATACAGTCTTGGTCTTGTATAAAGTTAGTGCCAATATTTGGCATTAATAGACTTTAAAAATACCCGTTGCGTTATGTGATTATCAGTCATTCGACTCCTTGAATCACAAACGACGCATTTTATAGCCGAAGCCAGTCTCTCCGAAGGCACTGAACTCCCAGGTGTAATTAGGTATTTCCGGGCGAGTTGATATAATCCTGGCATAGCCACCTTGTGTGCATTCCAAAATGTTAGGGGATTACTTTCCCATGATGTTTGGGGCAAACTGAGATATAATTTTAGCTCGCTGTGATCAGAGTTTTGCAAGGAAAGGCCCTTTAAAATTGACCTATTGTGGGCCTCCATAAAATCGACACACTGTTCCTCTGCATTGTCATCAGAAATCTGTAATAATTTAAAGGAAATTAATATATACTTTATTTTTGCTTCGGAATAATAAATAAATTATTAATGAATTAATTACGTTGAGTTATTATTATTATTAATGTAAATGTAAGTATTACTATTAAATTATATACATGATTACGAACTCTAAAATTTGACATACCGGGGTTTCCTTTGAAAAGGTAGAAATTTCGTTCAACAAATCATTTGTTGCCTCCTGTACCCCGATGGGTGATATGTACATTTTTTTAAATCTTGGATCAAGAAAAGATGATTTCACCAATATTTTATTTGATTCAAGTGTAAATTTTATTTTACAGTGTAGTGTAGATTTTATTTCGTGTGTGTGAAATTTTGCGACATTTTACTGCGAAATCTACATTTTTTTTCACACACACGAAATAAAATCTACACCTTCGCGGTAAAATGGCGCCAAATTTCGGCGTCATGTTGTACACATAAATATATATATTAGCGGTGCCCACACAAATACATTTACATATGTGCACAATTATACTGCGAATTTCTTTTCACACACACAAAAACACTGAAAAGAAAACGCTATTTTATATATAAATTTATTAATATGTACAAACCTTTTTTTGCTGACACTTTAAAAAAAATTCGTTATGTTTATTTTTAACATGTGACGTCAAATTTGTGGTGTTTCCACTTGTTTTTACCATTTTATTGCACAAATTACACTTTGCTGTTCCGTTTTTTATTTCACTATAATTCTTTTTTATTAGCTTTATGTCCATTTTTCTCACACCGCCGATCTTCACTTTTTTCAATTTGATCAAAGAGTGACCAACGCAGAAATATCAGATAATATCAAAAAAAACTATCGCACACTCGATATTTGGGGGAAAAAAATATTACGATATAAATATATTATTTTTCCCAAAAAATATCGATATATTGATATTTCGATATATTATCAACAACCCTAGTAAAAATCAAAGTTATTTAATTTCAGAACAATATTTTCCTCCAATTTGCCTGCTTCTAAACGCTATTAATAATGCAACTGGATATATAAAATACGATAAAGGTAAGCATTCATAGCCCAGAATTAAGAGTGTTCCACTGAAGTAAAACTGAAAGATCGATGTATTACGTTGAACATTTTTAAAGGCATTTCGAAAATTGAAACAAATTTTTAAATTTGATCTTATTTTTATACCTTGCAAAGTGTATTTATTTACATTTTTGTATGTAAAACAACACTTTAAACTATATGTATGTATGTACATCTATGCATACATACATATGTATGTGTTTAGATATGTATGTTCTTCATCAAAATAACATAATCATAGGCTTGAAGGCTGAGATTTTATTAAGAGCCTTAGATTGCTTAAAGAAACTTTTTTGTAGGAATAAGTTTATCACATGTGTATGTGCATACAGTGGCTCACAGCATATTTTACCCATCTTGTACATACATACATACGTACATACATTCATATAATTTGAGTGTAACTTTTTAAGCAGATATAAAAAAAACGCAGTTTTTTCGGTGGGTATTATAGGCATAACAAAGAACTTATATTTTTTTTTTTTTTATACCCTTGCAGAGGGTATTATAATTTTGTCCAAAAGTGTGCAACGCAGTGAAGGAGACATCTCCGACCCTATAAAGTATATATATTCTTGATCAGGATCATCTCCTGAGTTGATATGAGCATGTCCGTCTGTCCGTCTGTCTGTTTCTACGCAAACTAGTCTCTCAGTTTTAAAGCTATCGTCTTGAAACTTTGCACACACCCTTCTTTCCTTTGCACGCAGTATATAAGTCGGAACGGCCCGGATCGGCCGACTATATCCTATAGCTGCCATATAACTGATTGATCGGAAATGGTATAACCAGTGGCGGACTAAGGACTTTTGAGGCCCGGGGCGGTTTTGTCTTGTCTTCTTTTGTCGTCCATGAACTGGCTGCTTCGATCGTTGTATTCGTTGCTCGAATGTGTCTCCGCAATCTTTTCACTTCTTGAGAAATTTCTTCTTCGTCGAAATCATGATACACTTGATTCAGTTCTCGTACAGCAGATGAAATATCCGTCTCCGACGCATTCATGAGAAAATTAGACTGGACGACTTGGAATGTATCGGAAATTTTCCTCGTTGCGCTTAACCTCTCTTGAAGTTCCTGAATGAAACGATCCAAAAACTCGTACATTGATCTTCGATTTTCCTCTGGGACAGTGACATTGGATTCTGTGTCTAGCTCGCCTGGTAAAAGTTTCCTCTTTCTTCGCCTTTGTCGATTTTCAATCTCAATGTCAAGTTCTTGACTCTTTTTAGTGCCAAAGGTGATAGCTTTACTGACAATGCCACTTCTTTCTTCAACCAAAAAAAGCAGTAAAGCTTCCATTTTCTTCAGAGTCATGTCAAGTGTTATTCCTTTTTTTTGTAAATATATCTGAGCAGAATCAACTTCAGTTAGAATAATGAACCAAAATTCCAAAAAACACAAAAATGTGAAGTTGCACATTGGAGGCAGTAAAGTGCCTGCAGCAGATTTACTGTTCAAGTTTTCATCAGAAGAATCACGAATTGTTTCTATCGTTTCAATTAAATTGACGATGTTGTTTCTTGCTGCTTTTACGCTTTGATAATGTGCGCTCCAGCGAGTATCAGTTAATCTTTTCAAGGTCGTGTCTATGTTTTTCAGAAGCATTTCCCATCTATGAGTGGAAGCAGCGAAGAAAGCGTATATCTTCTCAAGTGTGCCGAAGAATGTCACGCTGGAGGTCACACAACCGAACGAATGAATTCCACAGAGATTTAAAGAATGATTAGAGCATGGGTTGAAGATAGCCTTGGGATTTAGATCTCGAATCCTCGTTTGCACTCCTTTATGTCGACCAGACATTGTAAAAGCGTTGTCGTAACCTTGAGATGTGCACAGTTGAATGTCCAGTTTGTCTTTCTCCAATTCATTCAGAATATCTTCAGTTATGTCAGCTGCTGTTTTTCCATTCATTGCAAAAAACCCCAAAAACGATTCTCGCACTTCAACAACTTTTTCTTCAATGTGGACGTACCTTACAATTTTACACATTTGATCTATGTGACTGTTGTCTGGTGTGCTATCAAGTAGCAGGCCATAATACTTCGCTTTTTTGACATCTGATACGATATTTTCCAAAACGTGGTCCCCCAAAATGCAAATGAACTCATTTTGAATCCCCTTTGATAAATACGAAGGCAGCCTTTCTGATCCACCAGCACATTTTTCTAATTTTGCCCAATGTTCTCTCAAGACAGGATCATATCCAGCCATCAATTTGATCAGCTCCAAAAAGTTGCCCCGATTTTCTGATTCAATATCTTCTCTGTGGCCGCGAAATGCAAGGTTTTGTTTCGCCAAAAAAAGAGTCGCTTGTAATAGCCTGTGTAAAATATCTCGCCATTTCTTCGTTTCAACATTAATGGCTCTTTGGGTGACGTGGTCTATGGTGTTTTCGCTTTTGAGCCTGACTGTCAGCGTTTTCCATTTTTCGAAATTCGACAAGTGTTCATTAGATGACTCATGTTGTGCAATTTTAGGATTCAATTTCCACCACTGATCAAAACCGGAAACGAATGTTTTCTGAAGGTCGTTAGTGGTAGCGAAGATTCGACAGCAAAAACAGTATAACTTGTTGGTAGATGTTGAGTAAATCATCCACTTTCTCAGAACGTTGGTTCCATCTGATGAACTCGTATAGAACCATGAATTTGTTAGACTTCGGTGAGTGCCTTTAATCGATCCTCCAATTCTTTCAGCTGCCAGAAATGGTCCATCCTTGTTTTGGAATATTTCACTGGCTTTTAGGATAATGGGTAATCGAATACTATCTGGTAGAGGTATTTGCCAGGCTGCTGCATCATTTGAATATGAATGATTGCTTTTGGGAGTTCTTGAGTCGTCAGTTTGTATAGGTCTCTCAACATCTCTTTTTTCGTTTTCTACTCCAGACGTATCTGTTGACACATGAGTCGCAGGTTAATATAAATAAAAGAAAAATAAAACAGTTATAAGCATTTTACCATTTCGAACATGAAATTCTAAAGCCTCGACCGTATGGTTAGTCGTATCTGCTGCGTTGACATTGTTATCATCTGCACAATATAATAAACCGTATTTAAAAATCAACCTTATAAATTTATAATCATTTACAAAGTACAATTATGCTAAATATCAATAGATTATAACTGAGACACAGAGCGTATAAAGGCAAAAATAAATGAATAATACAAACTTGTATTTAGATGCGAATCTTGATTTTCTGGGGAATGTTTCTCTGCAACTAAATATTTTAACAATGATTGTGCTTGCGACTGACTTTCTTCAGCTTTAACCTTTTGCTTCTTCCGCTTTTGCGCACCACTCTCGTAGTTTCGTTTCACTGTCAAAAAATTAAAATACAGATCTTTGATTAATATCTATGCATGGACGTCAGGTTTCACACTGTTTTTTTTTGTTATGATAACACTTTTCTGAAAGATTTTTAATCGTTTTTTGATATATTTTTATGTATGTGCCACCTACTTTTGAACAGCGAATGTTGCGATGAATTCACATAATGATATCGAATCAAACGTTAGTAAAAAACGCGAATATATTGCACGATGTAAACTCGAACTATCCACAGCTGTGAACAATATTTTCCGAATATACGCAGACGTATCAACAGCAAGATGATAACAACAGTTAGTTTTCCGGGCGTTCTGCACTGTACACACACCAGTGTTTGTGAGTGTAGCTCAGTGCCATCACCGACAGATGGCACTGAGCGAGCGTGTGCGAAAAAATGTTTCGAATTCGGCGAAACTTTTTTGATTTTTTATGTTTCATGATCGCACATGATTTTTAGCATTGCGAATGATACGTTAACAACATTTTTTCTCAATTTTTCAATTAATTGGGGGCCCCTTGCGGGGCCCCCTTAATCGCGGGGCCCGGAGCAGACCGCCCCCCCCTTAGTCCGCTACTGGGTATAACTTTGACGTTTTTAAAGTTACAGAGTTTGACATGATCAAATTTGACATGAGAGCATTTTTTGGCAAAACATTACGACATGCCAAATTTCATAAGGATCGGCCGACTATATCCTATAGCTGCTATATAACTGAACGATCGGAAATGACCCAACTTTCGTGTTTTTGAAAAGATAGAAAGGTGGAATTTAGTACAGATTCTATTTTTGGTCAGTTGATCCAACCTACCAAATTTCATTAGGATCGGCCGACTATATCCTATAGCTGCCATATAACTGAACGATCGGAAATGACCCAACTTTTGTGTTTGTGAAGATAGAAGTTTAGGACATTTTTAGGTTTGGTTTTTGTATTATAATAAATTGGGTTATATTATCATATTCTCATAAGGATCGGCCAACTATATCCGATGTTTGCGATATATATCCGGTTTTAACTGCAAGGGTATATAAACTTCGGCTCCGCCCGAAGTTAGCTTTCATTTCTTGTTTTTTTACCGGTCTTTCGGAATTTGGAAACGGCTTGTGCATCAATAAGAGCATCAGCTAGCATTCCTGTATTCATCATAAAGCTTAGAGGCCCAGACGACCGAGGGGCGCTCAAGAAACGATTTGTTAGAATATATTAAGTTATTTGTTAATTATTAAGCTAAAAGGAGTTAGTAAGGAAATTTAAAATTCTATATTTTAAGTTAGAGGGACAGGAAAGAGATGTAATAGAGTAGAGACCATTGTAGTTCGAACATAATACCCTAAAAGGGTCATGCAGTGCATATGTCGAACTACAACGGCTAAGGAACAGAGGACTAAAGTTTCGAGTCCTTCTATTAGGAATGTTAAAATTTAAGCGTGTTAGTAAATGCTGGCTATCTACATCACCGTTAATAAGGTTATGCAGAAAAACTACACCGAGCATTGTCCTACGATTTGTTAAGCTAGGTAAGTTTATGATTAAGAGTCTACTACTATAAGATGGAAGGTGAAGATTTGCATCCCAGTTTAGACCTCTAAGTGAAAAAGTTAGGAAATTCTTTTGTACGGATTCTATGCGGTCCTGATGTAC